TTCTATTTCCCACGGCGGCTTCGCCTCCTCGACCTCTTCTTGTTTAATCGTTATTCATCGAAATCTTCTCCTCCGTTGCCTCTATGTTTTCCCTTTCTCACCTTGGTAAAAGGAACGAAAGTGAAAAATTTGTTTTCACACATCCGATAAATAATTGAGTCTGCAATTCCCTTGGACCCACTCTCTTTTTTTTTAATTTCAAAATTGTAACAAAAGAATAAAAAGCCCTTGCCAAAATTACCCTATCGGTTACAGTTTTACAGAGGCAACTTAAGACATTTCACATATAAACTGTCCAAGTAGTGACAACTACCTCAGAGTGTTATTAAAACTTAGAAACTGTCCTGCAAAGTTAAAAACTCTTGATATTATGCTAAAATAATCAAAGTCAAAATAAACCCTATTTACTAAATCTAAACCCTAATCATTGATCTATAAACCCAAATAGAATCTAGATATAATATGCTGCACATTTCTCGTACATTGCTAGATATAGTATGAAACCTCTATATTTAGTATAGAAGGACAGTTTATTCCATTTCCATTTAGTTATTATTATGCTTAAATACTAAAAACCAAAAACACTATTTACTAAATCTAAACCCTAATCAGTGATTTAAAACCCAAAATAATCTATATAATATGTTGCAAATATCTCGTACTGTAATACACATAGTATGGAACCTCTATAGAAGGACGAGCAAACAAATACACCATTCTAGGATAAGATTTGGAAGATAGCAAATACGCAAAATAGAATTAGTCTACTAAAAGTCGAGATAGTATAGTACCTCACATCAAAAAGATGGCTCAACACCGAAACACACAAAGACAGAGATAATCCGACATGCAATGGGAAAGATCATTACTGTTAAGATTTGTGAAAACGAATCAAGAAATTATACATGCAATTTTAGAGTAAGAATACCGAATCAGCGAAAAGCAACTTACAGTAAAATACCATAATTCTGTAATTAGATCTTGAGAGGGCCAATATATGAAAGGTTTTATGAAACTCGCCAACTAGCTTTTTCCTTTGTGTCAAATGTTCCTTTGTCTCTGCCTCGTTCGTTTCTGGAATCAGTCAAGCTGCATCACCAACAACATAAGCCCCTTTAACAGATCTTATATGACTCAATTCTAAGTAAAAAATTAGAGATGAAATCGAGTTGAACAGAAAACAGATGCAGGGTAGCCGGTGTGAAGAAAATTTGAAAATACGTCAATGTCTTCGGTGTGCTGTAGCGGTTGAGTAAATCTCGGCAGAAAATTTTTCACCTTCTCTGTAAATTAGAAAGAAGAAGTAACTTTGAGATATGTGTGACTCTCCGATGTCCACACGTAACTTTTGCTATCTTCTGTAATTATTAATTTCTTTTTTAATTGTAGGTTTAACCGGTTATTTGGAAGGCCAAAGTTAGAATTATACGTAAAATGCAAGGTGTAGCTATGTATATTAGGGCATTCAACTAATGGATGAAATATAATATTTTTGTTAGTCATACAGCACAATTTTCCTTTAAAATATTACCAAAAATATTAAATCATATTAAAAATTGGAAAAATATGGTAAGATTTAAAATATCTACCAAAATTATGTATGACAAATTTTGAACTATAAAAGTTTCAAAAGCGATTCTTCATTCTCCACTTGACAACACAAGAAAACGTATGCAGTAGGAACTCTAAGCACAACACTAGCCATTCACCAATTCCCCAAACTTCGTCATCACCATTGCGTCTTTCAAGTGCAATCACCGAGCACCAAATGTTCGTAGTATACCACTTATCAGGCTGCTTCTTGTCCCACAAGAATAAGAGTTTCCCACCATAGTTAACTACGGCAAGGGCAGTAGCACACCAATTCCTACTCAGTACCTCCAATCCTTCGACCACTCTCCACCCTTCAAGCTTTGGGTCATACCACAACAAATTGTTATCATCACCACAGGTGTACAAAACATCCTCTATAAGACACATTCTCTCAACCTTGAGTTTATTTGCTGCAACGCCTCATCTCAATTCCTTTGGATCATAAAAATAAAGTTTCTTCACGCTGTTATGAACGTAGACCTTTCCCTCTCTCGCCTATATTATCTTGATTAAAGAAGAGCGGAGCCTAGGGTCATGGTCAGGTAAAGACTCCCAAGTTTGTGTATTTGGGTCGAACACCTTAGCCCAGTTCGTGGATACATCAGCATTGCAACCGCCCATTACATATATTTTCTCATCGAGGATGCACGCAACCGGATTATTTGAGCCACTTTCATCCTAGGGGCTTCACACCATGTGAAGGGACTCCCCTTATCAAGGACCCACGAGGGGGATGGCACGGGAGATATGCTGTACTTGTATGAGGTCGTAGTACTTTAAACAAACCGCACCAATATATGATGTTGGTTCATAAAGAGAATATGAAGAAGGTATTGGTACCAACATAGTGGTTCCGGTACACTTGGTATCCTCCTGATAAATTTCATTGATTAGGGCTTGATCAGGTTTTATCCAGAGGGTGAACCAGGAAGGAAGATTACGACCGGGCAACTGTAAATAGACATGAAGAAAGATTTCTATTGTTTTGTAGTGATATCGCGCAAGGAGGATACGATGACACAGTAGAAGGTCTTGGAGACTAGGGAGAGCTGAGAGTAGTACGACTTAGACAAGAGGGCTAAGCAGCTTACAACTATCTCATCTGGAATCGACGAAAAGGATGTAGGATTCGTCTTTTTGTATGAATGTTAAATTTATTCAAACAAAAAAAAACGTTTTTGCATCTAATAGATGTGGACAAAGTTTAGAGTTTCATTTTTATACATTCTATCAAATCATACACATCATCAATTACTTGGCCTTGAAACTAGCCAATTATAAAGATGCGGTACACTTGGTATCCTCCTTCAAATCGAATATCTCCCAACTGCCTTAGTGAACTGAATCTGTTGTTCATGGCCTTGTCAATGTCCTTGATCAGTCGCTGCCTGTTGAAGGCGAGCCTTCATGCCTCTGAGTGTTTCTTTCTCTCCATAAGGGATAAAGAATTGTTTGGAAGAGGTACTTGATAGTGTAGCCTCGCAATTTGGACGAGCTCGAACTAGTTAACAATGCGAGGATCTCTTCACATTCAAAGGAGAAAGCATCGTCAAGCAAACCCAACGCCAGATTCTGCCAGACCTGCTTAGAGTAAGAACATGAGAAGTAAAGATGGTCTCTCATCTCTATGTGTTGATGACAGAGCACACAATCAGCAGAGATATCAGCGTTCGAGTTTTGCATTCTGGCACCAGTAGGCTGCCTGTTGAGAATCGTCACCCATGCATTGAAAGCAAACTTTGGTGTGCGGCGACTGAACCATATATCCTTCACCCAAGACACCTTAGGTTTAATCGATCTTATTTTCTCCCAAGTGATTTTGGTAACAAATTTTGGCTTATAGACCCCTTGCTTTGTGCGCCATAGGACCACATCTTCTTTATTCTCATCATAGTGAAGGCGTACAAGTTCAAAGCTCATCCTCGATCCTGTTGTAAATTGTGGTCTGATGTCTCCGTTTTGAAGTATGGCTAAAGCTTGTTCTGCCGTAGCATGAGCACTAATTCCCAGGTCTATCCGACCTCTATCACATGTCAGCCTTACAAACGTTTTAATTTTAGAATGATGATGTATCGACTTCACAATGATTTGATAATTAATGCGTTCACGCATAATTTTTTAACTCATAATTTAATGCGTTCATATACTTATTTTTTAATTAATTCATTTTTAGTATATATTTTGAACATTTTTATTAGTGAATTAAATTCTCTCTATGCAACTAATGAATAATATTATTATTGAAATTAAAAAGTACAAAATCACTAAGATTCACATCAACTAAAATATTGAGATGAGAATGTTTATAGAAATTAAAAGTTATGTACCTTACCGAAGTTGGCCATGGTTGAAGGCTTGAAGCTTCAATATACAAAGACAACATTTAGTTGTGATTGGCTATAACATAAGGAAACTAAAAAAACACATTTAGCCAATGATTTTTTAAAAAGTTTTCATATAAGACAAAAAATTAAAAAAGAAATCAAATTACAGAAATTAGAAAAGTTTTAAAAGGAAAAAAATCACAAAATTGATTAAAAAAGAATTCAAGTACCAAGTGAAGAGATCACATTATAAAATATATATTATTTTATTTTTAAAAGATACAATTTGATTTTCTTTATATGAAATTGTTTTACTAATTTCTAGGTCTGTATTATTTTTATTTAATTTTATTTTAAAAATTTCACTATCATGTGTTCTTTTGAACAAAAATATTTTTAATGTTAATTAACGGTATTTTCATATATTTATCATCACATTTATATACTTTGACATACACATACATGTACACATTGACGTAAACCCACTATATAACTAAATATTAACCATAAATAAGGATTCTAATTCTTTTGGAAGTTATAACATTTTCTTAATGTTTCTTTTCACCTTTGATCGAATTATAGTGAAATGATTTATTTTAATAATTTTCTCTTCTTTTTCTTCAACTAATATTTAGATTTGATATGATTTTGCATGTATTTAAAAATTATAATAGGAAAATATTGGTTCGACATCATGAGTGTCTAAAATTTATATAATATGAAACCAAACAAATAATAATAGTTTTTGGTTAATACCGAAAAATCAAAAACATAAATCATTTTAACCAAAAAAAAAACAAAATAAATATGAATTTAGAATGACAGTTATATTTTAGGAAATTAAAAACAAAACAAAAAACAACCTAAAATCGAGCCAATATTTTCTTTATCTTAAGAAATAATGAAATCAATCATTGCATGCAAAACGTGGATTATTAACTAGTATAACAGTTATAATATATATTCTAGTTGAAGATAATATAACAAAAAATCCTTTGCAACATCGCCGGATCTCTGAAAACAGAGTCTTGGATATTCATCCCTAAAACTGGCGGAAAATAGGGCTGTGAGAAACAGTTAAAACTATATCAACTGATTCTGTGCATTCCCCAAAGAACACAAAGTCAGAGACTCAGATTGTTTGGATAAAACAAGATCAAGATAACAAGAAAACTTTATTTTGTCTGTCCTTACCAGCTTAATGTTGATCAGATCCTCTATATCATCAATATACTCTTTCAGCTGCAAACACAAGATCATAGTCAACATGATGAAAACAAAAAAAATATAATAGATTTTTGTTTTACCTTCTGAACTTTATGTGTTACCAAATTATAAGTTTTTGTGTGTTTTTCCTTCTGAACTTCCTGTGTTAAAGCAATGAGGCAGCCTTTTAACCTGCGCACATGTTCAATATTAAGTGTGCTAATGTTTGAGGTTTATTCTTCAGGAATAGGATACATTGTAGCATACCTGTGCATCTAAAGACAAGCAAGATAATTCCAAAACCAGCTCCAACGCTTTTAAACTCAAACGGCAAATCATCTGAAACCAACAAATATATAACACTTTTTTTGTCAGTATCTAACCATCATAACTCCAAGCCACCAAAGCTATATCAAATCCACTGACATTTGAGATTTAGGTATTAAACGATCGTAGCCGTCTATACAAAATTCCAACTAGTACTGAACTTTCAATTCTTGAAATGGGCTGGATTTTTGCAAATGCAAACGTGATAAAGTATCACAGAACAAACATACTCTCTTTAATGGATGCGTTCACACATGCACTTCTCTCCAACTTTTATAAACTGCAGGAAGTGAAAAGAGCAAAGCCTAAAACCAATGTCTATACTGTCTACACTTCAAAACAGTTATGCACGTACTGAGTTAATCAACAAAAGGGCATTTGGTCTAGTGGTATGATTCTCGCTTTGGGTGCCAGAGGTCCCGAGTTTGATTCTTGGAATGCCCCCATTGACATTTTTGTAAGACATGGTCGATAATGCCAGCTAACATCTAAGTAAAATTAACAAACAATCCAACTATACTATTGTCTATTGAGCCCTGAAAGTCAACTGACAGAACTAGATATAAAATGTTTTTTCTTTCTTACATTATCTAAACAGGAAAACAAAACATTCTAACATCAGATTCAAACATAAAATACAAGAATAGTTTGAACTTACTCAAGCTGTATGTTGGCTGAGGGGCAGAGAGGTGTGATTCTCGCTTTGGTTGCCAGAAATTCAATTCTGGGAATGCCCCCATTGACTTTAGCTGACAGCTGATATAAATTTGTCCTTAGTACTTGATTTTAAATGTGACATTCAGCATATCAACAGTATACGTTTACCAAACTTATAAAAGAATATTAAATTACAGCAAATCCACCTTTGCTACGCCATTAAGTCAAACTGATAACTTTAGATCTGAGATGTAGCTTTCCTTCTAGATTTATCTTAACAAGTAAACAGTTTATCACCATATTCATGAATCAAATAGATGAGTTTGACCTTAAACTGTATGCTGCCGTCTATATGAAGAATAAACCCTCTATAGCAAAAATTAGGCACGTAAGTTTTATGTAAAAGAGAGTGAACCGAGTATTATCTTTCACACAAGGATTAAACTACAATGAAATACTTGAATAGAACTTTATCAACAACAGGGCATTTGGTCTAGTGGTATGATTCTCGCTTTGGGTGCGAGACCAAAGCGCGAGAGGTCTCGAGTTCGATCTCGGAATTCCCCAATGGACCCTTTTTAAAACTGTATAATCTAGGTTCAAGCTCATACCTATTGCATATAAGTTTGTCTATGGTCCTGTTTTTTCACAGATCAGGTTCACCTTTTGAACAATGAACACTACTTAAGACTTTGCCAAGATTAAATTAAAAATAATCCATGTAAGACTTTCACTACTATGTGACAAAAGCCAACATACAGAACTATATATATTAAGCATCTTTCATATTATATATTTGCTTGGCAAGAAACCAACACAAAAGATAAAAAATACGAAACTTAAGATTTTCAGACTATGAATCAAAAGGGCTTGGTCTAGTGGTATGATTCGAAAGGTCCCGAGTTCGATCTGGGAATGCCCCTTTATTTTTCCTAATGTAAATGTTCTAAAGCCAAATGAAAACTATTAAACAACAACTCTTAATCAGTCCTAGACTTTTCAGATATTTAGTTCAGTAACTGAAGACACATATCCCCCTTTCACTTTTGCAAATGCATATCAATTAGAAAAACTCCTTAAAGTTTTGGTTTTGAGTCCTTAATGCAATTGAAAAGAAAAACATACCTCTATTCACGTCTAGTTGCAAGCTGCCTAATTCACAACAAATGAGCTGCAGAAACAGAAAAGAATCGTGAGTAACCAATCCAACAAACAAAAGAAGGGAAACGAGATTTTTTTTAGAGAAGCGAATGCAAATACAAGGTATAAACTGAATGACATGAAACAGGGCATTTGGTCTAGTGGTATGATCCTCGCTTTTGGTGCGTGTTACAGGAATTATGGTTCATTTATCCCACTTCAAGTTTATTATTTGGGTTATGTATTTCCAATT